CGCATGTCACTTAAGTAAGAAATCCATACATACATTGCATGGTCCTTGAAGGACCTTCATCAAACCATATCAAACACAATCATGGTTCTGATGTCCGTTTCCACAGACTGGTGTCGCCAGATTGTGACTCGGTGGGGAATGAGGATGGCTAGGTCCCCAGATTCCTTTCGATCCAGCCACCCCCATTCTCTGTTCGCATCAGCCAGTACGTCCAAGCCGTTCAGGGACTTCAGGGAGAAGCCCTTTGTTCCGTTCGTAGCATCCTTGTTCCGTTCGTAAGGCCAGGTTGTTCCCGTTCGAGTCGCGTCCGATCGCTCCGTTCGAGTCGCGATGCTTCCCGTTGGCCCCTAGGGAACGTAGCTTCTTGTTCCTATTGATCTTCTTTGTGAAATTGAGCATCCCGCTTTCCGGATCGCTTGGCTCTGAACATGGCTTCACCAGGCTTCACCAGCCGCGGCGGATCGACTGTCACGAGTCAAACCTCCGTGACCGCCCGCCTCTGCGAGCGAAGGCTAGGAGAGGCCTGCTTGGACGAAACAACACGTGTGGGTCGAACCGCCTCTGAATGTCCGCTTTCTGGAAAGAAAAAGGTACCCGGAGTCTCCATGTACTTACACAACATGTGATATATATATAATAGATGCACACATTGTTTTGGACTCATTGTGCGGTTGGAGAACTCTGTAGCTATATTGTGTTTGGAACATGAACCTTTTTGGATGCATGGCAGGATTGCTTTTGCGCACCAACACAGATGGCTCCACAAAGACTCGCAGGGCACAGCCACTTCGACCTCATCCACGCTAACGAAGCATCCGAAACGCAGCGTGTCGGCGCGTTGAAAGTGGTGCTGCTCTATGATGGGGGCAGAAAATAGACTCTGAACCATGCGTGGGACTTTTTTCCCGACGCCCTTTTCATCTGAGATGGACGCGACTGGTTTTTTACACAGCCCCGCTGGAAGGAAACAAACAAACAAGCTGCGCCCCCAGCAAATGCAGATCATCACTCGGAATCAGAGTTTATAGAGTCTCACGTCACACGTTTAATGAAGGACCTCAGCACGTGAACGTGAAGAGAAGAAGCAAACGCGGCCACTTCACTTCTATCTTCTATCAGAATGCATGCCATCCTGGTAGACTTCGTGCCTTTCTGAAACAAGGACAGACTCCCCTGGCATCATGTACCTGGCAACTACATCAACACCGGCGCGTCGCGTCGCGTCCCGCGTCTCGTGCGCCCGGGGTGCCGAGCGATTTCTGCACATCGCAGCCACCACGACGATGGCTGGACGGCGTGACGGACGTGCGAGGACGTGACGGCGTGGCCACGGTGATTGGTATGACCTTTTGGGCAAGGGACTCATTTGCGACACCAAATCTGACTCATTTGCGACACCAAATCTGACTCATTTGCGACACCACCACCCCCCTGTATTCCTCTCATGTACGACACCAAATCTCTCTCATTCGCGACACAGACACATACACACATATGATTGCACGCATTAGGTTGGGTGGGACATTAGGTTGGGGTGGGGTGAGGTGGGGCATTAGGTTGGGTGGGGGGGGGGGGGGGGGTTTAGGGGTGGGGTGGGACATTAGGTTGTTGGGCTTCAGAGTTTAGAGTGGCATTTGGTGGAATTGGTGTGGAGCTGGATTGGAGCTTTATGACTTTATGAGAACCAAGCTTGGGCCCAGAAGCACACAGATTCTCTAAAAGAAAAGCTCTCCGCGTCACAACTGAGAAAAGCTCTCCGCGTCACATTCGAGACAAAAAAACGCGTCACAACCGAGACCCTTTCCTGTCAATGTCTCTCTGCACTGGTTGTATCCTCTTTGTGTTTTGGTTTATATTTCAGACTCTTTTAAATTGTTTTTATGATCTTATATTAATGGGAGATGCTACAATCGCTACGACCCCAGGTTGACTTCGATTGTTCATGACTCATTGTGCAGAAAGATTTTTCGATGAGTCTGCACCTCTTTCCTCGCAAAAAAAAAAACACAACGGCCTTTGGAAGGAGGGCGAAAGGCAATCTTCCTGTTACGACCATTTCATGTGGTACTGTAGTACTCCAAGCCATTCTGTGTAGGGGAACAAAGGGATCGCCGGGTCTTGGCGATCAAGTCGCATGAGACGTGGCGGAAATCCGGTAGAACCTGATCTAGACTCTCACGAGTTAAGATGCGTGATGATGCTGTGACATGTTGGATAAGCCTGTCCACCTGATTGCATATATTAAAACTAAATGTAAACTCAAATGTATATACCCTAGACGTCCAAAGACTATATGTTGACCGACTGAAGTGAAGCATATTCCTTGACTTGGGTCACCTACTCAGACCATTCTTTTGATAGTCGACTGGACTCCCAGGGTATAATATATATATATGCGTTACATCTTCAGACCATCTTCCAGAAAAAGACACCAGTGCCTTACAAGTCCAGTCTGACCCAGGTCCAAACCTTGTCTCCTCCTTAAGTATTGATTTTGAAGGACCATCTGCAGTAGTAGAAAGAGGTCTTTCACTTGTAACGGGTGGTGTTCCAGCTCTCCCATCTCCTGAGCCCAAACAGCCAGGCAATCCGGACCTGCAAGGCATCTCAAGCCCCGCCACCAGCATCGGGCCTGGCCACTCGCTCACTCGGAGTCCAAGCCCCAAGTTCTTTTGATTTGTGTTAAACAAACACCTAATATATCCTAATATATAGATCTAAGGCTTCATGGATCTTTTTTTCCACCAGTTTTCCGTTCAAGACGTGGGGCTGAAGCATACGCAGGGAGACATGAATGTGCCCAGCGAGCCACATGACCCAGCAAATATGCCTTGTAGGCCTTCTGGGGGGATTAAACATTGAACATTTTAGCATCAAATTAAAAAAAGTTTTTTCCTGTGCCATCTTTGCCTGACTTAGTGTACATGCCGAAGGACCCATCGAAGATCATCGAAGCCTTACCCATGTCGGTCAAACTCTGGCCACTCCATCCCCATCGTCTCGATCCATCTCCCGTCACCTCCAGGCTATAACCGCTCGCCCTGTTTGGTGGCCTGGGCAACGGCAGATCTGGCCCTGCAGATCCTGTGAGTGTGTTGCTTTTCTGCAAAACAAATGGTTCCAACCTCCAAACCCAACGCCCAGACCATCCCAAACCTGGACTTCATCTGAATCAAAGAGGGATTGATTTTGGACTTTGGATACCCCAAACACTCCATGGGACTGGTGTATATGTATATATATAGTAATATAGGAAACAAAAATGACTACATTGACCCTTTTCAACCACCCCAACTGATGCATCAGGCAACAAGATTCAAGGACCTGCACCGGCCAAAGACCGAGCCTCGACTGAAAGATCTGCCATGCCACATCAGCTGACATGGGGTTGTTGCTTGTATTTGTTGATTGCAGTCATCCGTTGGTACCTACCATAATCTACCATACAGGTCCAACAAACCATCATGTCAGAGTCACAAAGAGAGTTACGCCGCAGAACCACTCTCTACATCCTCTATGTCGCGGCAGTCCATAGGCAACTCGCTTTGCAGTCTGAAGAAAAAGCATTGCATGAGATCCAAAAGGGGACTGGCAAAATTGCTCGAGTCAGATGTGCCAGCAACTCAACGTGATTCGAGGCAGATCCTACCGTTTCAGATTTGAACCAGCTGTCACAGCAGCAAAAACAACTCACGCGTGTATCAAAGCATGTTGTGAATGATGTAACTGGCATATCACAGGGGGCGTGAGTGGAACTTCATCCTGACATTTGGTTGGCGTAATGAATTGGTTTCTCTTCTCCTTTCTGCCATGGTGAGACCGGAGGTCATGGCACCCCTCTTGACGTGTCAAAGGAACGAACATTGCTAGAGCTGCTAGAGCTAAGGGAACACTCTGCCCGGCTGCCCGTTTGATTGTTCTGTGAAGAACGCCACACCACCAGAAACACGTCGGTCGTACCGACATCGGGAAAGAACGCCACTGGATTCGTACCGACGGAAGCTCAAGAGCGAAGGCATCTTCATTTGTCTGCAATCTCTTGCATCCTCTGATTGTCTTCAAATGTCGGCTCAAGAGCTCATTTGTCTCTGAAGCTTTATAAGCCAACATCTTCTCTTTCAAAAAACCAGCCAACCACCGGTCACCTGCTGAAGCCGGTCGCTCAGCTCGCTCTTTTCGTCCGCGTCCGCGCCGGGGTGCCGGATCCGGTGGCGCCTGGCGGCGAGGAATCGGCGTCGTCCGACGGGCCTTGGATGGAGAGTAGATGGCACAAGTTACCCCAAGGGAATGGTAGGATGGCCATGTGGACCCTGATCTACAGCAAATGTTTTCACATGTTATAGGGGGTTGTGCTATCTGAAACCGCTCGGTGAAGAGATCCGGGTGGCCACCGAATCAGGTTTGCATCCATTTGTCATCCAGCAAACCAAATATCTCTTGAACTATCAATCAATATCTACTTGCTACAAGAATTCATCGTCTTTGCCTTGCAAAACCCTTAGTGTTCGGGGTCACTTTCTAGACAGTTATGATGGAATTCTTCGATTCCCAAATGTCTGAGCAGGATTTGGAGACATCGCTCCTTGGTCCCCCAACTCGACCCACGAGAAATCTCGGGAACTCGACAACAGCAATCGATGACGTTTCGAAAAAAAAAAAAAAAAGCATCGGTTGGTAGAAAGTTTGCCTATCGTGCCAGGGCATCATGCCTATCATGACCGATGGTCATAGACCATACCTAAGACCACCAGTGGCCTGGCATCGTACAGGATCGCATCGTACCGGATGCCTATTGACTCTTCTAAGACCCATGTCATGACCGTCTCGAAGTCACATGACCGAGACGTCCACGGACAAGTTCGCCTGTTTCTCAGTGAGCTTTTCTTTACACTTGACACTGGCTGTTCACATCATAGACCGTTTGTTTCAGCTTTGAATGACTGAAGAACGCAGCTCTTAGACTAGACTTGGCTTGGCAAGAGACTTGAACGCTCGCTTTTGGGGCTTGCGGCCGCCGCGATCGTGTCTTTGGCACTGAGACTGCAGGGTGAGACTGCCCAAGCTTTTTCCAAGGGCCCGAAATCTACACCAACATGAGTGCCATATCACCATATCTTGCTACACTGTTTACACCGGATATGCAGGAAAAGCCTTCCCACGCTGAGAAGGAGCCATATCGCGGCGAAATGAAGAGATCGGATGAGCACCGGTATCCTGTCTTCACCCCTTTTCAAAAGGGAGATTCGAAGCGCTTCAGCGCTGATTGATCTTCTCACACTTCAAACCACGCCATCATTCTTCATCCCTCCGCGCCATCCTTCTCCCGCTTCGGGCAAATCTTCGCCAGGATCCCAAAGCAACAGCTCTCCACGTCCACGCCCTTGGATTCTCGGCGCTGCAACTCACCGGCCGGCTTGCGTCCGTGATACTCCACGACTCCACCTGCACGCATGCCTGCATCCCAGAAAGTCAAGCTGGGAGAATCATCGGCCTTCCACACCTTCTTCCCATACTTGAAATAGTAGCCACTGAGCACATCTCCTTAGTGAGCCATCCATTTGGCGACCGAACACCCGGTCGAAAGAAATCCAACAAAAAAGGACATGCCACTTGAAGTACCTTGCTGCAACACAAGCAAAAAAAAGAAGGGTTCTAAAGTCAAATTATTAAACTTATTGTCTATGAGTCTAACTCATCATCTCCAAACTTCTCTCCAAACGTCTCTCCAAACTTCTCTCCAAACGTCTCTCCAAACTTCTCTCCAAAATCTGTTGGTTTGTTTTGGTCCATGTCAGACATGTCACGGAAATCCTTGTTGTCCTCATTGTCCCTCACCACCGACAGCAACCCCACGGTGCGCCCGAAGTGCCACACGGAGGTCTCCAGCGACGCCACCTTCGCCGTACAGGTGTCGATGGACTCCCGGCTCACCTTGGCTCACCGGTCTCGGTGTGGGCGCTGCGAGGCGGTCTCAAAAGGTCTACAGATGTCTACAGGTAGTAACAAGGTATACAACCTGAGGTCTTTTTGTGATTTTTGAGTTTCAACTCAAAGTCTCAAAAAATCCGTTTGTATAGTTGTTGATTTAAGGTCGACTGTTACAAGGTTCTTGGGCAGTATTTACTGATTTGAACAACATGTTTATTTGAACATAGTATTAGTATTGCAATGCAGAATTAAACGATGAACAAAAAACTAAACGGCCAATGAACCTCAAGGTACGAGTAAGACTGGGTGTAAAATTCATATACATCCCAACATCCGGTCAATCTAAGAACTTAAGAATCTAAGGGCCATTGAGCACCAGCGGTGTGTCAGGTCACATCTGCCGCTGTTCAGAACCTAAGAGGGCAAGTGACACCGGCAAAACACAGCATTTGCACCAGCCCCCGAAAACGAGAATCGGATGCGCCGGGATACGCCGGGAGTGCGTCACCCTGTGAACCCCCGGAACCATCGGCGTATACGTGACCGTCCGTCCGTCCGGAAGCGTCCGTCCGGAAGCGTCGCGGATCGCGTGGCTCGGAGATTTCAAGTCGCCATCTTCGCCACAATGGCAAAGCCACGCGGGTTGATTCGAGTGGATGGAGGGCTCTGCGACATGTGTCCCCACAGCGCCCAGCGAAGTGTGCAGCCGCGCGTGCGGTCGCGGCTGCGGGCGGCCGCGGCTGCTGGGTCGACGCTGGAGGTGCCCGATTGCCCAACGAACGCGGCCCAAGCTATGCCAACTGGCCTGAACCATTATACGGCGAAGTGATATCCATGTTTTGGTCTTGGTTGTACGGTTTGGTGATTGTTCTGGCAAAAGAGCATGTCGTTGGAACGGCCATGATTGATGTGAATATCGCCGAAGGCAAAAGGACCAGGATCTAGACTGTCGGCCCAAAATCCACCACCAGCTTCTGTACTTCTGTGGGCTGGTCCCTCTGATTTCAATATATTTCAATCAGGATTGGCACAACTTCACCCAACCCTCGGGTGAAAAACGGCTATGAATCCATCTTTGATTCATCGGCACAGAGCTGTATGTCCTTTCCGATCCTAGAAAAGGTCAGGTGAACAACTAGAGAGGTAGCTTGTCCCTTGGGAGGCCGCGAAACCGTCCAGGGAGCTTTGAAACGGTCGACCAATCTCCCCTAGCTGATACACAGATGGTAAGACAAATGGCAGGGTGTTGAAATTCCTTGCAACGACCTAGCTGTCTAGCTGTTGAGGGAAGAAGAAGAAGGAAGAAGAAGAAGAAGAATATGAAGAAGAAGATGAACATCATGTGCATGGACAGAAGCATATGGTTCTTCCAGTTGCGAACCGCAATTTCAAATCAGCGAAAAACATGAAACTGCAACCTTTGACCAAACAACATAGCAAATGAATTGCTTATATTAGCATTGTTCAAGCCAACCCTTTTCACTGCATGTTTGCTCAAAGCCAATACAACAAACAAAACATGATCAAAAAACATTGAGTCATAAATGTCATACCTAAGAACACAATAAAACCTTGAAGCATGTTCAGCATGTTGAGCAACCACCATCCATTCCTTACCAAGTCCCTGGTTTTGTTGTTGTTCGTGCACGTCCAAAAGGATGAAACGCACAAAACGAGAAGTGTACACTCGACAGCCGCTTTTATGCTCGAAAATAGGAGCGTTGAACCTTGCAGGTTATGAGCCCAAGGTGACAGGTGTAAGACCCGTGGGCAAGGACGGGCAGCCCTGCGCACTTGCAAGCAATGTCCATGGTGGCTCGTCGGAGACGAAGGCAGCCTGGCGATGGGGATGAAGAAGAGGACCCAGCCGATCAGGGAGGCCTTCAATTACAAGATCGGCAGCTGGAAGAGGGTCAGCTGGCCTTGGAGGACGGCGAAGATCAAGAGGAAGAGACCCTTGAAGGTCCGAAAGGACCGCCTACAACTTTGACACCGTTGACCCCACTCTTCACGCCGGAACAGCTGAAGGGACTTCATGAAGTGCAGAGCCAAGCTCCTCACCTATATGCTCAAGTCCCGAGGCAGAGCATCTGGCAGCCTGGTATGGGGAACAGGTCGCCAGAGGAGGTGCAAAAGGAGAGACCCACGTTCCTGCCGAAAGAAGAAGGTTCAGTGGGAGTGCTTCCACAGACGAGCACGACGACGGGGACACCATCACCGGCACTGGTGGGCGACCATGTACCAGATGACCAGCAACGTGGACGACCAAGAGAACCACGGGTACCTGAAGTACAAGAGCCTGAAAGTGACAGCGATGGGCGACAACCTCCCCAACCTAGAGAGCAATCGGTGGTTCAGATCCAAGGGAACGGGCCTGGAGGAAGAGGTCTGCATGTTCCGAGAGGCTTTGGACAAACTGGCCCACCTGGGTACATCATGCCCCATGAAGAGAGGAGGGGACCTATGCCGCATCAAGGAGGATGGCAAGTTCAGCTGCATCCCTATGGCCCTGGTCCGCCAAATCCACAGGAGATGATGACCATGTTGGCAATGCTGAAGCAGGAGAATCAACAACTGCAGATTCAGCAAGCAGAGCTCATGGACGCCATGAAGTACCAGAGGGCTAGCCTGGAAGCCAAGGTCCATGATCTACAACGTGAGCTGGAGCAGCAGGCTTTCAGAACGCCAGAAAGCGATGAGCCTGTGAATCGTCAGCTGGAATTGACGGTCGACGAGCCTCCGAGAGAGACAGATTTGGAGGTGGAAAGACGCCGGCTGTATGAGTTGACTCACATGCAACAGTTCGAGCAGCTCCAATCCTTGATGGGGACGGTCACTCCGGCGCCAGCAAAGCGAGGTGGTCGGGGGCAAGGACAACGAGAGAGGTCGAGATCTCAAGGTCCGAGAACTGCACGTCAGGGAGGAGGTCAACCTGAGGGCTTGGTGGCATCTCGGGCGAAGGGCTTCGAACCGGAAGGGAGACAAGGGACCGGGAAAGGTGTGGGTCAGCCAAAGAAGAAAGCCACAGCCGAGCAGCCTGGTCGATCTTCAACAGCAAATGTTCGGGAGGAACCATCAAGAGAGCACGGTGGTGGCATGGCTGATGCGATGTCTATGCTGATCACCTACCTGGTCGACAAGGACAAGAAGCAAGAAGGACCGGAGTCGGTCAAGCCGGGGACGGCCACACTCCCAGTCCTGGCAGAGCCATCCGATACGGCTCCCATCGACCTTGCTGACTGGCTCACTATGGTGGAACCGGCTATGACAGACCTTAGCGACTCGTCAGGCGAGTGGTGGGAGTTGGTGGTGAGCGAAGCAAGGGCTTGGTACAAACAGTACATCAAGCTTCGTCCAATTCAGCGGGCATCATCCAAGATCGAGCCGTCTGCTGAGTTGCAAAAGCCGAAGTGGGCTCGAGTGGAAAAGAGGGCCATCAGCATGCTGCTTTCTTCAGTTCCCACATCAGTGAAGGAGGAACTGGTAGCAACGAGGACTTTGTCACCGCTGGGGCTGGTGAGCAAACTCATGGTCCTCTATCAACCAGGTGGTGCTCATGAGCGCACCATCATCCTGCGGCAACTTGAAGATCCGCCAGAAGCAGGGTCGCCAAGCGAAGCCTGCATGGGGCTCCGACGCTGGATGCGCTGGCTCAGGAGGGCCACCGACATCGGCCTGAATCTCCCTGATGCGATCATCCTCATGAAGGGCATCAACAAACTCAGCAAGCGGATCCTCACTCAACAACCGGATCTGCAATTCAGATGTGCCTTGGTCAAAAACACCTTGCAGCTTGATACCATCCCCAATGAGGAGACTGTTCGGACGTATGCTGAGCATTTACTCGCTGAACTTGAACAACTCATGCACCGAGTCCGACCGTCTTCGAGCACTACGAGACCTGGAAATCAGGGAGGTGGACCATTGGCAGTAAAGGCACTTCAAGGGGAAGATCGAGAGAAGAAGGGGGACTCGCCAACGACATCGGCGAAGGGTCCTTGTCGATATTTCCTCACCGAGTCTGGATGTCGAAGAGGGCAGTCGTGCAAATGGGCGCATCAACTGGAGACTGGCGACAAGCAGAACCAGGAGAGAAGGTGCTTTACGTGCGGGGCCACACAACACCTGGCTCGAGACTGTCCGAGGAAAGAGACGGCAAAGAAGGGAGATGGACCTCCATCTGGCCAGAAACCGAAGCTTCAGAAGCTGCTGGACAAAACCGGTGGTGGTGGAAATGGGACCTCGCGGAGTGAGTCGGGGGCTTCAATTTCTCCTCAAGCAGCGTCCTCGCAGTCGGTGACTTCAGAGGCGGCATCGGATGCAGCGACAAGAACTGCAGACCCAATCAAGAATGTGCTTGATGAGGCGCACAAGTTGCTCAAGGGCATGAACCTCGAAGAAGAAGGGCAAGATCGTGCAACGGACCTTGGTGCGACGTTGAAGAAGCCGAATCGAGCATGGGAGAAAGGTGGCCCAGAGCTACGGGCAGTCAAGATAGCTCGAGTCCAACAAGGTCGAGAAGGACTTCTGGATTCTGGGGCAACGCACGCTCTGAGGCCCAAGCTCCGAGGAGAAGATCTTCAGAGATATCGCCAGGTGAGGGTGACGTTGGCTGCTGGAGGAGCACAAGACATCCGAATGACAGAAGGGGAGACGCTGGTCCACAACAGTGAGAACGTGGAGCCGATCGTCCCGGCCGGAAGGCTTGTTCGCGACTTGGGGTGTCGAATCGAGTGGATGGGGGAAGCTTGCACTTTGGAGCACCCAGTCAAGGGCAACATTGACCTCAGAGTTGAAGCGGGATGTCCTCAAATGGACCATGATGTTGCGTTGGACCTTATCAGGGAGCTGGAGGAATCTCGGTCGAGAACGGCTTTGAGGTGCTACCGATTTGGGGAGGCTCACAATGATGTCGACTGGCTGGACCGGGTGGTGGCAGATTGTCCGATCTTCGACAAAGTCCCGATCCGAATCAAGGATCGCCTGGTGGACTCTCCAGCAAGGAATCTTGAGGTCCTTGGAGTCAATCGACGCATCCGCAAGCGCTGGGAGAATGAGGGTGTGGTGGTTCATCTCTACGCTGGGAAGAATGAGGGCTACGATCTCACAAGGGCTCTCAAGGAGGCTGGCGGAGACACTACGAGATTGTTGGAGGTGGATATCCTTCGAAACCAAAGTCATGACATGTCAAAGGACGATGCAATGTATGCAGCACTGCTAAGGATTGCGATGTTGGGCTGGATTGATGCGGTGATCGGTGGACCCAACTGCAGGACCCGCAGTGAACTACGACATCATCCAGTCACGGGACTACCAGGGCCATCGAGATCGTTGGGAAGACCCTGGGGCTTGGACGAGTTGGATGAAGTGGAGAGGGCAAAGTGCCATTTGGACGATGTGCTGCTGTTGCGTATGGTGACGCTCTATGTGGTGGCAAAGCTGGGTCGAGACGCACGATTGTCCCAGGAGAAGAATTCCGCGTTGCTGCCAACGGTCAGGTTCTTGATGGAGCAGCCTGCAGCGCCTCAGCACATGCCGGAAGTGGCATCCTTCTGGAGAACCGAAGAGTGGAGGGTAATGAAAGAGCATCTCAACCTGGACATGGTGACCTTCAACCAGGGTGCCTATGGTGGTATGGCGGTGAAACCTACCTCACTGGCATTGAACATGGAGTTCATGGTTCCCGAGGATCGGGGCCCGCCCAAGGCCTTCTTGAAGACCAAGCATGAGGTGTCGAGCTCCGAGCTGGCGAGATGGGCCCCCGGAATGATGCGAGAGATTGCAAGAAGCATCACTGTCAACATCCAGAAGAGGCGGGTGACGATGAAGGCCTTGTCTTGGCAGGAGCACCTGGCGCAGGGACACGTGCCGTTCCGCAGAGACTGCGCTGTCTGTCAGAGAGCAGCGGCAAGGGATCGACCACATCGAGCTCAAGGGATAGCGGCTCCGTGTGTGCTGTCGCTGGATCTGACTGGACCATTTGTGCTCGGCCATGACATTGACGGCGACCTCAAGAAGTACCTCCTGGTGGGAGCATACACGTGGCCGGTCATGGAGGAGGCACCATGGGACGAGGTCGAACAGCTCGAAGTGCTCCCAGACAAGGACTGGCCGACACTCGAGGAAGAAGAAGCTCTTCGGGAGGTGGAGTATGACCTGGCCGAGGATCTGGAGGCTCATGGTGAGGAGATGTCCTATAGACCTACGTCTGACGAGGGTGAAGACCTGGAGATGGGTGAGCCGGAGGAGGATGAACAGCAGGGCGAAGGAGACGGTGATCAGTTAGAGCCGCTACCTGATCCAGGACCCTGTGAACCCGAACCACCATCGGTGCCGCTCCCAAAGACTCCAGAGGAAGTTGAAGAGCACCAGAAGGTCTACAAGATGATCACAATGTCCATTTGCCTACCACTGACCTCGAAAAGCGCAGCGGAAGTCCTTGCTGGAACACAAGAACTGTTTGGGATGCTGAGACGCCATGGCTACCCTGTGGCTAGAATCCAC